GGAAGGGCGGTTCCCCCTAGCCACTTTCCCCACTTCCGCGGGGGAGCGGCACACCGCTGGCCGGCTCTCTCGGGGGCTGCACAGGTGTTCCTTCAGATAGTTGTTCCCCTTAGATGTTCCTGGTGCATGTTGTCTCTCTCCTCCTTTATAGTCCTCTTCCGCCAATCCCAACTCTGCTACCCACACGCCGAGTATGCTGCTCTCCTCCAATCAGGAGCAGGTCCTGCTGTTTATTGGTTGAACTGGAGGCAGCTGTGTAGAAGCTGTTTCTCCCTTCTCAGCGCCATATTGTGGGAGAGCAGATGCATAGAATAAGTCTTAATTCCAGTAACTGAGTCTAGTCCAAGTTGCTCCCAGTTGCTCCCCACAAACCCTTTGTCCTTGAGTGACATTTACTCTTCTCCTAGGTATCCCATAACTTAAATACTATGTTATGCAATTAGCAATACTTGAATACTTTGAAATAAAAACCATATATCTTTTATTAATGGAAAGGGGCAAGGGGTAAAGGGATAGAAAAGATGGGGAAGAAACTAAGGTATTTGGTTTACATACACACATGAATGCACACACATGCAACAAAATAAGAAAGAAACACTTATGACAATAAGACAGAGATCTTCCATCCACTGGTTCATTCCACAAATGCCTGCAATAGTCAGGGCTATGCCACGCCAAACCCAGGAGCCTGGAATTCTATTCAGATCTCACCTAGGTGGTAGGGACTCGAGCACTCATGCTATCATCTGCTGCCTCCCAGGATGCACGTTAGCAGACTGCTGGATTGGAGTATGGGAGCCAGAACTCAAGCTAGGTGCTCCACTATAGGATGTGGGTAGCCTAAGCTGGGATTTATCTGCTGTGCAAAACACAGCTCCCCCTCATTAATGTTTTTAAATCTAATCAGTTAACAAATTCCAGAATCTCTAGAACAAATTCATAATACTTATCCTAAAAATTCTCTTTGTATAAAACTCCCAGAACCAAAATCTACAGTAATAGTCCCTGATTTACAACAGTTTGACTTAAAAGTTTCAATGTTATGATGTTGCACAAGTAGTGCACATTCAACATAAATCATACTTTGAATTCCATTTTTTGGGAGGGCTAAAAATATGCATAAAGATAGTCCATTGCAATGCTGTTGGCAGTGGTGCAGCCTGAGGGTAAAACAACCCTATATAGTGTACTGTGTTGCTAAACTGTGATGTTTGGTAGTTTAAGTGTGTTAAATGCCTTTTCAACCTAATTATATTTGCAATTTATTTTGAGTTAATTTGAGTGTAATCCCATTGTAAGTCAAGGAGCATCCATATTATGGTTTTTCAGAGAAACTGAACCAACTGGATATGGTATGTGAGCACAAATAAAGTGATACTTATATTAAGGGTATATCTCAGACAATTATGAAGGCTTGGCAAGTTCAAATTCTGCTTGGGTAGGACAGGAGGCTAGAGACTTGAATAAGAGTTGTAGTTCAAGTCTAATGGCAGTCTACTGAGAGAATTCCTTTTTTCTCAGAGGAGGTCTGTGTGCAATTAAGACCTTCAACTCATTGGATGAGACCCATTTATATTATGAAAGTTAATCTACTCAGATTTCACCAATTTTATTTATTTAATAGAAAACTTTTATTTAATAAATATAAATTTCAAAAGTACAACTTTTGGATTATAGCAATTGATTTCACCAATTTTAATCTTAATTTCATCCAAAGACATTTTCACAGAAATATCTAGAATGATGACCAAGTATCTGGCCACCATGGCCCAGCCATATTAATTAGTCACACATTAAAATTAATAATCACATTTACTTACCACCATCCCCACCCTCATGGGCTAATTCACAAATGGCCATAGAATGTAATTCTGCATTTTTGGTGTGGCTTGTTGGTCTAGAGAGGGGAACCACATGCAGCAAAGAATATGATTTATACACAGAATAAGTTACAAACATGATTCCAGGGCTGGCGTTGTGATGTAGTGGGTTAAGCTGGCCACCTGCAGAGCCGGCATCATTTATGGGCACGGATTCAAGTCCCTAGCTGCTCCACTTGCAATCCAGCTCTCTGCTGGTACACCTGGGAAAGCAGCAGAGGATGGCCCAAACTCCTGGCTCCTGGCTTTGGTCTGGCCCAGCTTCAGACATTGCTGCCGTTTGGGAAGTGAACAAGCAGATGGAGGATCTCTCTGTCTCTGTAACTCTTCCTCTCAAATAAAATAAGTAAGTATTGTTTTAAAAAAGATTCTTCTTTATGATTTAATAATTAAGTGTGTATTTTTTTGTAAAGATTTATTTATTTATTTATTTGAAAGAGTTACAGAGAGAGAGGGAGAGAGGCCAGGCTTGGGTCAGGCTAGAGCCAGGAACCAGAAGCTTCTTCTGGGTCTCCCTCATGAGTGCAGGAGCCCAAGCACTGGTGCCATCTTCTGCTGCTTTTCCAGGCATATTATGGGTAGCTGGATTGGAAGTGGAGCAGCTGACTCAAACCTGCTCCCATAAGTGATGCCGGCATCACAGGTGGCAGCTTAATTTGCTATGCCACAGTGACAGTCCTTCAGTGTTTTTTATTTTTTAAAGAATTGTTTTTATTACTAAAGGACTATGGTGTAGTTATCAAAATCAGCAACTAGGGGCCAACTTTGTGGTGCAACAAATTAAGCTGCCTCTTGAAATGCTTGTATCCCATATCAAAGTGCAAGTTTGAGTACCTGCTACTGCGCTTCCCATCCAGCTCCTTGCTAATGTTCCTGGGAAGGCACTGGAGAATAGCCCAAATACTTGGATGCCTGCCACCCATGTGGAAGACCCAGATAGAGTTCTCTGTCTTCCCCACTCTGTTGTTCTGCTTTTCAAATTAAAAAAAAAAAAACCTTTTTAAAAAATCAATTTACCTTTGATAAAATACTATTACTATATGAAGGCGTTTTCTTTTCTTTTTTTTTTTTTTAAAGATTATTTATTTGAATGGCAGTGTTACAGAGAGAAACAGAGAAAAAGAGAGACCTTCCATTTACTGGTTCATTCCTCAAATGACCTCAACACAGGGTTGGGCCAGGCTGAAGCCAGGAGCCTTCAACTCCACTCAACTCTCCCACATAGGTGCAGCAGCCCAAGCACTCAGGATGTTTTCCACTGCTTTTGCAGGAACATAAGCAGAGAGCTAGATCAGAAGTGGAGCAGCTGGGACTTGAACCAGCAGCCATTGTGGGATGTTAGCTTTGCAGGTGATGCCTTAACCCAGTGCCCCACAACACCAGTCACTAAATGAGGACATTTTAAAAATCCTTATTAAATATTACAAAATTTCCCTCTCAAATTTACACTTTTTAAAGTGGTATATGAGAATTTCAAATAATACTTTACCTTTTAAAATTGTAATAATTTTTCAGCTTGCTAGATTTATAAACAGCTGCTTAAGACTCAGTCCCAGTAGAACCCCTATCACCTCTCTTCTCTTTTCTTTTTTTCTTCATGGGATTTTACTAAGAATAAGAAAAGTCCCACTTTTGAAATACTTGGGGAACTTCCAAATATGACTTTCCCTTATACAAAAATAATTTTCCCATTACTGTTCTTTTTTTAAAAAAGATTGATTTATTTATTTGAAATATTTGCAGAGAGAGGGAGACAGGGAGAGAGAGAAATCCATCTGCAGGTTCACTCCCCAAAAGCCACAATAGCCAGGGCTAGGCCATGTCAAAGCCAGAACCAAGAACTCCATCCGGGTCTCCCACATGGGAACAGGGGCCCAAGCAGTTGGGCTATTTTCTGCTGCTTTCCCAGGCACATTAGCAGAGAGCTGGATCAGAAGTGGAGCTGGGACCAGCACTGTGGTGCAGCAGGTTAAAGCCCCAGCCTGCAGTGCTGGCATCCCATACGGGCACCAATTCAAGTCTCAGCTACTCTTCTTCCAATCCAGCTCTCTGCTATGACCTGGGAAAGCAGCAGAAGGTGGACCAAGTCCTTGGGCCCCTGTACCTGCATGGGAGACCCGGAAGAAGCTCTTGGCTCCTGGCTTCAGATCAGCTCAGCTCTGGCCATTTCAGTCATCTGGGAAGTGAACCAGTGGATGGAAGGGATGGAAGACCTCACTTTCTCTGGCTCTACGTCTCTCTGTAACTCTTTCAAATAAATAAAAAAAGATCTTTTTTTTAAAAAAAAGACAGCATCAGTCCTCATCAAATTAAAAAAAAAAAAATGGAGCTGCCAGCATTCAAGTTGGCACCCATATGGGTTGCTGGCATCACAGGTGGTAGCTTAACCCACTGAGTCATACCGCCCCCCATTCCTGTTTTTTATTGGATATTGTTTATTTGTAAAAAAATTCATCTTTTGGCATCTCTATGAATTAATACTTTGTAGGTAAAATTAAAATTGTAGGAGATTAAGTGATCTTCCCAAGGTTACATAAAAAGTAAATGGAAGATATTGGACTCCTCAGACTTACTAACTTTAAAGCTGATGATATCATGTTGGGTTGTTTAGATGCAAAGGACAGTAAACCAATCCATCAACATTTGAATTCATGTCTGCCATCTTTACGTGTCCTGAAGACAGTGTTAAAAGCATCTTGCATGAGAAATGATGGGGAATAACAGACCAGCAGCTACAGATGAAGAAAGGTGAAGAGCACATACTGGTGTTCATGATTAACAAGAAGTACATGATTCCCACTGATATAATTACCAAAGAAGACTACATATTAATTAAAGAACACACATTGCAAAGTAAAAATTAAAATAAATTTTAGCCGGTCTTCATAGCTAACAAGATCTCATAACACAGATGTAATGAAAGAGTGACTGGTGAAATTAGGATTTTTTTTTTTTTTTTTTGACAGGTAGAGTGGACAGTGAGAGAGAGAGACAGAGAGAAAGGTCTTCCTTTGCTGTTGGTTCACCCTCCAATGGCCGCCACGGCCAGCGCACTGCGGCCGGCGCACTGTGCTGATCCGAAGGCAGAAGCCAGGTGCTTATCCTGGTCTCCCATGGGGTGCAGGGCCCAAGCACTTGGGCCATCCTCCACTGCACTCCCTGGCCACAACAGAGAGCTGGCCTGGAAGAGGGGCAACCGGGAAAGAATCCGGCGCCCCGACCAGGACTAGAACCCGGTGTGCCGGCGCCGCTAGGCAGAGGATTAGCCTGTTGAGCCATGGTGCTGGCTGGAAATTAGGATTCTGATACATGGTTTTAAAAAAATACCAGGGGTGGCCGGCACTGCCGCTCACTTGGCTAATCCTCCACCTGCAGTGCCGGCACCCCAGATTCTAGTCCTGGTTGGGGCGCTGGATTCTATCCCAATTGCTCCTCTTCCAGTCCAACTCTCTGCTGTGGCCCTGGAGGGCAGTGGAGGATGGCCCAGGTCCTTGGGCCCTGCACCTGCATGGGAGACCAGGGGGAAGCACCTGGCTCCTGGCTTCGGATCCGCGCAGTGCGCCGGCTGCAGTGCGCTGTCCATAGAGACCATTTAGGGGAGTGAACCAAAGGAAAAAGGAAGACCTTTTCTCTCTCTCTCTCTCTCTCTCTCTCTCTCACTGTCTAACTCTGCATGTCAAAAAAAAAAAAAATAACAAGGGTTATACCAGGGAGTGATGTCAGATGGTAGAATAGAAAACACCAGCCTTAGTTTCCCACCCCTTCCTTAAAAAACATTCTACAGCTATTCGTTAAGAAAAACAGCATTGGAAAGTCTCCAGAGTGTAAGTAAGATCTTACAGCAATGCAGAAGAGCAAGTAATAGAAAATATCCACACAGAAAGGATCATTATAGAGATAGGCATACCTGAGACATCTGGAGATGGCTAGGAACTCAGAAGAAGGGCAGCAACTATCAGTTTCAGCTATATGAATTGTGCCACCTTGGTACACAGTGGCCTCTCTGCCAAGGAGCCCAAAAGGCTTTGCTGTATAGCACTTCTACAGCTCCTGTGGCAGCCACGGGCTCCTTGCAGCACTTACAGTGGAGGATCCCTGAGTGCTTTTTAGTGTGTGTGCAGTAAAAAGACTGGATACCAGAATCTCACAACTAAGGTAACCAACAGCCACCAATCCTGAAAGACCCCCAGAGAGAAATGCTGCTCTGCTGGCCCTAAGGAAGAAGCTACTGTTGTTCCACTTGGGACCAAGACTGTCCTTCCTCCTCAGCCTCCCCCCAACCCCCCCCCCCGCCTCATCCTGGAGCAAGAGGGGAAGAAAGGAATAAGGGACTCACAAAACAGCCAGAAAGCGATGAGCAAAATGGCAATAGTGAGTCCTTACTATTTACCTACTGTTTACTAATTAGTAGTTACCTTTAATGTAAAGATATTAAATTCTCCACCAATTAAAAGACAGAGTGGCTGAATGGATTAAAAAACACAGCTCAGTATATGCTGCTTACAAAAGAAAGTGTGAAGGCATAAAAAATTGATATATGTGAAAACAGAAACTAAAGGAGAGCAGAGGAACAAAACAGGCATTAAGTCAAAACCTGAACAAGGAACAAACAAGGACATTATATAATGATAAGGAGTCAATTAGCCACAAATACCTAACAACTACAAATATATATGCATACAATATCAGAGCATCTAAATATATAAAGCAAATATTAATAGATTAATAGCAGGGAGAAATGGACACAATAGTAGGAATTTCAATATCCCACTTTTAACAATGAGTATCTAAATAGAAAATCAATAAAAAAATTGGACTTTAACTACCTTTGAACCAGATGTCCCTAAAAGTTCTATGCCCAAAAGAACATTCCATCCAGTATCAGCAGAATACACGTTCTTCCAAAGCACACACAGAACATTCTTCAAAACACAAAAAAGTCTGAACAAATTTAAGAAGAAGAAATCAAGTCAAATATCTTTTCCAACTACAAAGATATGAAACTAGACATCAATAATAGGAGGGAAACTAGAAATCTAATATAGAAATTAAATAGTATATTCCTAAACAACCAATGGGTAAATGAAAATATAAAAAAATGAATTAAAAATATTTTGAGCCAAAAAAAGGAAAACATAACAAAACTTATGGGACAGAACAAAAACAGTACCAAGAGAGAAGTTTATAATGATAAATACATCATGAAGAAAAACAAACATCTCCAATTAATAACCAAACTTTATACCTCAATGAACTAGAAAAAGAACAGACCAAGTCCAAAGTTAGCATGAGGAAGGAAACAAAAATTATACCAAAAATTGAGACTTGAAAAATGGTAGCAAACATCAAAGCAACTAAATGTTTAAAAACCAGCACTACAAATCTGTAACTATACTAAGAAAACTAGAAGAGGCAAATCAGAGAAGACTGTACAACTTATATCACAGAAATACAAAGTCATATAAGACACTGCTATCAACAATTATATGGCAACAGAAGAAAAGCATAAATTTCTGGGCATATACAGCCTATCAGAACTGAATAAGGCAGGAATAGAGAATCTATGCAGAACAATAAATAAGGAGATTGAACCACTTATCAAAATCCTTAATCACAAAGAAGCACAAGAGTTGATGTCTTCAATCAGTGTATCTTATCAAAGATTTAAAGAATTCATATGAATCCTTTTTTCTGGAATTATTTTCTATCTGCTGGTTCACTACCCAAATGGCCACAATGGCTGGATCTGGGTCAGTCTGAAGCCAGGAGCCAGGAACTTCTTCAAGGTCTCCCACATGAGTGCAGGGTCCCAAGGCCTTGAGCCATCCAACACTGCTTTCTCAGGTGCATTAGCAGGGAGCTGGACAGAAGTGGTGCAGCCAGGACTGGAATGGGTGCCCAAATGGGATGCCAGCACTGCAGACGAGAGAAGAGAAGGAGAGACAGGAAGGTCTTCCGTCTGCTGGTTCACTCCCCAATTGGCTGCAATGGCCAGAACTGGGCCAATCTGAACTCAGGATCCAGGAGCTTCTTCTGGGTCTCCCACATGGGTGCAGAAGATCAAGTGCCTGGGCCATCTTGTAATGCTTTCCCAGGCCATAGCAGAGAGCTGGATTGGAAGAGGAGCAGCTGGGACACAAACTGGTGCCCACATGGAATGCCAGTTCCACAGGCCAGCCCCCGACTTTGCTACATTTCTATAGTTAAGTTGGTGTTACTTGGATTATTCATGTTTGGGGGGGAATGAAAAACACCCTGGGTGCAGAGGCCCAAGTGCTTGGGCTATCTTATAATGCTTTCTCAGGCCATACCAAAGAGCTGGATCGAAAGAGGAGCAGCCAAGACACAAACCAGTGCTCACATGGGATGCCAGTGCCACAGGTCAGCCCCGTACTTTGCTACATTTCTATAATGAAGTTGGTTTTACATGAATTATTTATGTTTTGGGGGGAAATTAAAAACATCCTTAAAATTTGTTTCAACTCTTCCTGCAAATAAAAACAATAAATGAAGTGGCAGATGTAAAATATAATATATTAATAAAAGGATCACATACTATGACTAATTGTAATTTATCACTAGAATATGGGGTAGTTCAATATATGCAAATCACTAAATGTGATACGCCACACTGATAGAATGAAGGACAAACATCAATATCTCAATAGATGCAGCAAAAGCATTTGACAAAATGCAACATTCTTTCAAAAAAAAACACCTCAGCAACATATATATAGGAGGAATTTATCAATATAGTTAAAGGCCATATTTTACAAATAAACAACTAATATCAAACTCTAGTGAAAAGTAAAAAAAAAAAAAAACAAAAAACGCCCTAAAATCAGGAACAGATGTGGGTGTTCTGATGCAATGGGTTAAGCCACTTCCTTGGAATGTCCACATCCCATATTGGTGTGTTGGTTCTACTCCCAGCTACCGTGTTTACGGTCTAGCTTCCTGGGAAGACAGCAGATGATGGCTCAAGAATTTTGGTTTCTGCACCCATATGAGAGAACTGGGTGCAGTTCTTGGCTCTAAGCTTTGGATTAGCTGAGTCCTTGTTGTTGCAGGCATTTGGGGAGTGAAGCAGTGGATGCAAGATCACTTTCTCTCTGTTTCTTCCTCTCTTTGCCACTCTGCCTTTCAAACAAACAAAAAATAAATAAAAAATAATAAAAATCAGAAATAAGGAGTATCCTAATGCACACTCTCAGCACTTCTAGTTAACTTATTACTAGAAGTTCTAGCCAGAACAATCAGACAAAAAAGAAGAAAACGGCGTCCAATAAGAAAGTAAGAAGTGACATCACTGTTTACTTCTTCATGATCTCATATACAGAAAACGCTACAGACTCCAACAACATACTGTAAGAGTAAAGGTATATAGTGAAGGTGCACGGTAAACTTGCATAAAACCGATATAAAACAATCATTTGTTTCTGCACTAACAGTGAACTATCAAAAAAGAAATTAAGTATTCAATTTACAAAAGCATTTTAAATAATAAAATACTTAGGAATAAACTTAGCCAAGGAGTCGAATGATCTACACACTGAAAATTATAAAACATTGGTATAAGTAATTATAGAAGGCACAAATAAATGGAAAAGTGTCCCTGTTCTTGGGTTGGAAGAATTAATATTGTCAAAATGCCTGTGCTACCAAAAGCAATCTACAGATTCAATGCATCCATATCAAAATCTCAATAGCATTGCTTAGAAATTTATATGGTACCACCAAAGATCCTGAATAGCTAAAGCAACCTTGCTTAAGAATAGCAAAGCTGGAGTCATCCTACTTCATGACTTGCAATTATATTACAAATCTATAGTAAGCATAACAGTATGATCCTAGCTTAAAAACAGACACATAGACCAATGTCACAGAATTGAAAGCCAATGCTTATACAATATCAAATCTTTAACAAGACACCAAGAAAACACAGCAGGAAAATGATAGTGTCTTCAACAAATGGTTTTTGGAAATCTGGATATACACATGCAAAAATAATAAAATTGGACCATTGTATCATATATACAAATCAACTCCAAATAGATTAGATGCTTAATATATGAAATTATAAAACTATTTTGAAAACATGGTAGAAGAATTTTATATGGCTTTATACGGCATTAGTTTTGGAAATGATTTCTTGACTATGATACCTAAAGCACAGCAACCAAAGAAAAAACAAACAAGCAAGACTACATCAAACTGAAAAGTGTGCAAAACAAATGAAATAATGGAGTTAAAAGGCAATTCAGGATAGCACCTTGGCTCACTAGGCTAATCCTCTGCCTGCGGCACCGGCACCCCAGGTTCTAGTCCCGGTGGGGGCACCAGATTCTATCCCGATTGCTCCTCTTCCAGTGCAGCTCTCAGGTGTAGCCCGGGAAGGCAGTGGAGGATGGCCCAACTACTTGGGCCCTGCACCTGCATGGGAGACTGGGGGAAGCACCTGGCTCCTGGCTTCGGATTGGTGCAGCGTGCTGGCTGTGGTAGCCATTTGGGGAGTGTATCAACGGAAGGAAGACCTTTCTCTCTGTCTCTCTCTCTCTCACTGTCTAACTCTGCCTGTCAAAAAAAAAAAAAAAAAAAAAGCAATTAAAGGAATGGGAGAAAATATTTGCAAACTGTACATCAAATAATGGGTTAATGTCCAAAGAATATAAGGAATTCATATAATTCAGTAGCAAAATCCAAATAGCCTGATTAAAAAAGGGGTCAAGTACTTGAGTGAACATTTTTGCTAAGAAGGCGATACAAATGGCCAACCATGAAAAGGTGCTCAGCATCACTAATAATCAAGGAAATGTAAATTAAACCACAGTTTGATGTCACCTCACACATCGTTTTGATGGCCAGTTTTTAAAAAAGCAGTAAATAATAAGTGTTGGTAGAATGTGGAACAATTGAAACCCCTGTGCACTGTTGGTGGAAATGTAAAATGTTGCAACTGCTATGGAAACCTGTATGACAGTTCCTCAAAAAATTGGAAATATGGGGCCAGCACCGTGGCTCACTTGGTTAATCCTCCACCTGCAGTGCCAACATCCCATATGGGCACCGGTTCTAGTCCCACTTGCTCCCTTTCCAGTCCAGCTCTCTGCTGTGGCCTGGGAAGGCAGTGGAGGATGGCTCAAGTGCTTGGGCCCCTGAACCCGCATGGGAGACCAGGAGAAGCACCTGGCTCCTGGCTTCGGATCGGTGCAGTGCGCCAGCTGTGGCAGCCATTTGGGGAGTGAATCAACGGATGGAAGACCTTTCTCTCTGTCTCTCTCTCTCACCGTCTGTAACTCTACCTGTCAACTGAATTTTAAAAAAAATTTTTAAAAATTGGAAATAGGACTACTACATGATCCAGCAATCCTTCAGTGCATTTATGCAGAATTAAAGACAAGATCTAGAAAAGGTGTATAAATTCCCATGTTCTATTGCTGCAGCATTCACAATAACCAAGAGATGAAAACAATAACCATTGACAGATGGAGGGATAAAGAAAGTAACACACACACGTGTGTGTATGTGTGTGTTTTCTACTAGGTATAAAAAGTAAAATATTATTCAGCCTTAAAAAGCAGAGATCTGCCATTTGTGACAACATGGGTTAGCCTAGAGAATATTATGTTAAGTGAAATAAGTCATATAAAAATGCTACTACTGCATTATTCTACTTATATATGGAAAACATAAAAGTTGAACTCATAGAGACAGAGTAGAAGGGTGGTTTGTGATGTAGAGTTGCGGAGATATTGATCAAAGGGTAAAAATTTGGAGTTCTAAGGTGCATACATTTTAGAGATCTAATGTATAGCATTGTGACTATAGTTAAAAAAAAAAAAAAAACTGTCAGAATGAATGTTTGGCCTGGTATTTAAGATACCATTTAAGATGGCTGCTTCTGATATCAGAGTTCCTGGGCCTAACTCCACTCCTGATTCTAGCTTCCTAGTAATGACACCCTGGGACACAGCAGATGATGAGTCAAGTAGCTGAGTCATCCCACCCATGTGGGAGACCTGGATTGAGTTCCTGGCTCCTAGGTTTGGCCCAATCCAGTCCTAGCCATTGTGGGCATTTGAGGAGTGAAATAATGAAGCAAATGGGAGTGGAGCATTCTCTCTCTCTCTCTCTCTCTCTCTCTCTCACTCACTATGTCTCTCTCAAATATTTTTTTTTTTTGACAGGCAGAGTGGACAGTGAGAGAGAGAGACAGAGAGAAAGGTCTTCCTTTGCCGTTGGTTCACCCTCCAATGGCTGCCGCAGCCGGCGCACTGCGGCCGGCGCACTGTGCTGATCCGATGGTAGGAGCCAGGAGCCAGGTGCTTTTCCTGGTCTCCCATGGGGTGCAGGGCCCAAGCACCTGGGCCATCCTCCACTGCACTCCCTGGCCACAGCAGAGAGCTGGTCTGGAAGAGGGGCAACCGGGACAGAATCCAGCGCCCCAACCGGGACTAGAACCCGGTGTGCCCGCGCCGCTAGGCGGAGGATTAGCCTAGTGAGCCGCGGCGCCGGCCTCAAATAATTTTTTAAAAAATACTTTTATACTTCAGATATGCTAAGATAGTAGATATTAAGTATTCTCACCAGAAAAAAATAGCTAACAATGGCAGATGATGGCTATGTTAATTAACTTTATTTTGGTAATCATTTCACAGTGTACCTGAATGTCAAATGATATATCCAATTTTTATTTGTCTTTTGTACCTCAATAAAGCTGAAAACAACAATAAAAAAGAGGAATAAAAGGGGAAAAAATAAACCAGCATAGCAGAGGAGCTGATAAGTCAGCAGGGAGAGTAGAGGCTTTTTGAGGAATACTGGAACAGCCAGAGTGAACAAATCATGAAACATTAGAGCAAAACAGTTTTGGAGATGATCTATCCATACAGGTAAGAACACTGAGGCCCTCTTCACATTAAAGTTAGAAAATTATATAACTAAGATTAGAAATTGTGCTTTTTACTCTGAGTTCTGATATTATTCTACTTTCTAGAATATTATGAAAATTTTATCCATAAAATTAAAACTTTTATTAATCACTTCAAGTTCTCTTTGGAAGTAAGCAGGACATAAATAGATAATACTCTTTCAATTCTGTTAATAGTTTTTTTAAACTTTTTTATTTATTTGAAAGAGTTACACAGAGAGAGAAGGAGAGGCAGAGAGAGAGAGGGAGAGGCAGAGAGAGAGAGAAAGAGAGAGGTTTTCTATCCACTGGCTCACTCCCCAGTCAGCCGCAACGGCCAGAGCTGCGCCCATCCAAAGCAAGGAGCCAGGAGCCTTCTCCGGTTCTTCCACGTGGATGCAGGGGCCCAAGGACCTGGGTCATCTTCCACTGCTTTCCCAGGCCAGAGCAGAGAGCTGGATTGGAAGTGGAGCAGCTGGGTCTCGAACCGGTGCCCATATGGGATGCTGGCACTGTAGGAGGTGGCCTCACCTGCTACATCACAGCGCTGGCCCCTTGTTAGTAGTTTTTAAATGGCATTATATGAACATTTTAGTTTATGAAGGAAGGTTTGGTTGAAAACATATTGTATCTTAGAATTTCAGGCTTATAATCATTGGTTACAAATGAGATATTATCCAGTAAGTAAGAGTGATGAAAATTGAAATGACCCAACTCTGAAGACAGTGATACAGATACTGTTAGTTTTCTCAAGTCTGGTAGGGCTGCATCATACATGATAGCCTGTAGCTAAAAATGGATGCACTTTGTATAACAATACTGTTGGTGAGAAAAGGAATAATGGCAATTTTTTTTTGTTTGGAGGAACAATCATTATTTTTCTCATTCACACACACAATAAAAATAATTTCTATTATAAGTAGCCATTAATCTTCATTCTTTTTCTGTATGTATTTATTCACACTTTCTCATTAAATTCTGATATTGTTCAGAACTCCTTAGGTGTGTTATAATTTTACCATCTGGGATATATCAGTTGCAAAATATGTACATTGTAACAAAAATTGATACTTCACAAGACTTCATATTGGTTATTTTCCATTTTAAATATCTTTGTTCCATTGAACAATGGAATTATGTAATATTTAATTTCAACAAGAATAGATCTTACTTTCTAATTTTTTTCTCACTCTATCATTTTAAAATAACATTCATTGGATGCAGAAGTTTTGGAGGATTTGTGTAAAATCCACACAGACTTTTCTTGTTTTATTTTGTACATAAATTTTACTTTAAAGCTACAAATACCTATAATAATTGTATTGTATTAAGCTGTTTAGAACTATTTAATGGGATTCTACAGGCCCTGGTGGTCTCTTTAATAAATGAAATTTAACTAGCAATACTTCACAATGCATTGTTACAAAGAAAACATTTTTTTTACTAATCCTTTGCCAGTCTATTTGAATATTTAGCCAGGTCCATATGCTCCATAGAAGTGTAGAAGAAATTGAACAAAATTAGGGAGGTGATATGAAAAATACTTGCATATAAAGCACTCTTTAGACATCTGGGGATCAGTGCACAGAGAAAAACACTTATATACCAATGTATTCATTGCTAGAGATATGAAAATAATGTCTCTGACCTCAAAAGAGATTACAGTCTAGCTGTGGAGGTAAACAGTACATATCACTACGATGTGAGGAAGGATGATGTAAATACAGAGTCAAGGTGGGTGAGGGAGGAGGTGAAGATAATGCAGAGAGGAATCACAGCTGGTTGGGGGTATTCCTTCCCCATTCCAAAACATACATGTATTTGATTTGCTTAGTCATTTCCATCATCTTCAAAAAGCTTATATCTATCTTATTTCTACATTTCAATCCTACAACATTGTCTATAGATATATTTCTAAAAATTTTTTTTATTTGAAAGGAAGAGAGAGAAAGAGTGAGGTATAGATACCTCCTATATATTGGTTCATTTCCCTGAAGGCCTGCAACAGCCAGGGCTAGGCCAAACCAAAGCCATGAGCTAGGAACTCAATCTGGGTCTCCCATGTGGGTGACAGGAGCCCAACTACTGAGCCATCACCTGCTGCCTCCAAAGTTGTCCATTATCAGGAAGTTAAATGCAGACTAGAGCCAAAACACACTTAGTCAATCTGATATGGGATGTCAATCCTAAGTGATGGCTTAACTACCATGCCAAATGCACATCATAAAGCTTTATTTCTAAGACACAAATCGAATATAAATCATCCTCATTCATTTTGGGCTGCTATTACAAATAACTACAGACTGGACGGTTTAACCAACAGATATTTCTCATAATTCTAGAGATGGGAAGTCCAAGATCAGAGGTTGTTTCTTGATTTTCAGATGGCCATCTTGTGTGTTGTCCCGTGGCAATGAGCAGAGAGGTACAGGCTCTCTGAAGTCTCTTTTTGTAAGGGCACGAATCCCATCATGAAAGCTATTCACTAACAACATAATCACCTCTCAAAGGCTCAGTCTCCAATACAATCACCATAGAAACTGGGGTTTAAACATAAGAACAGGGAGGGGTGAGCGGTAGTATTCAGTCCATAGCAGATGTCAATGAAATAATAATTCATGCTATTTTTCTATATACCATTAACAAGAAAAATTGCTAAAGGATGATATAATACTTTCTTAATTTCTAGAATTTTTATTTTCTAGTTACTAAAGTTCTTTTGAATTATTTTAGACATCACATCTCAACTTACATAAAACAAAATATAAGGGAAACAAATTCTTAAAATTTCTTCATATGAGAGTAATTTTCCTACTTCATTTTCCATTCAGAATCTTTTATGTCCAATATTCCCTCATAATATTGATATGGTCTGAAAGTTTTTGTTCCCCTAAATACATAAGTTGAAATCCTAACCTCCAAGTTGATAGTATTATAAATAGGGCCTTGGGAGGTGATTAGAACAAGAAAAGCAGAGCCCTCATTGGTGGAATTAGTGCCCTCATAGAAGAGTTCCAAAAAAGACTACCCCATCTACCATGTGGGGTCACAGCAAGAGGTTGACTATGTGTGAACCAGGAAACAGGTTCTCAACAGAGACCAAATCTGCCAGTGCCTTGATCTTGGACTTCCTAGGCTCCAGAACCATAAGAAATAAGTTTCTATGGCTTATACACAACCCAGCGTATGGTATTTTATTGTAACAACCTCAACAGACTAACACAGGAAACTTGTGCTCAGAAGTAGTCTTGACTAAAATACTTTGAGATATTTCATCTAAGCTGTATTACGTATCTTTCAGAAGTGTCTAGTAGTGGGAAAGGGATATGGTAAGTCCTCCCACACCCGTGCCAACCCCAGCAGCAATTCCTAAGCTGGCTAGGAAGGGTATAGGGTGATAGCTCTTTTATGGCAAATATTTGTGGTTAAAGAGACTGGTAGAGATTGGCTACTGGGAGCAATGTTAACATGGGGGAGGAATCAGAAAGATAAGAGAGCAAGTTCTGGTCCAGTAGTGGAAAGATAGAGGTAAATGTTGGTTCCACTAAAGAAAAAGATCCCATGTTTTTGAATTATAATGAGGGTGTGAATCTCCTTAGGGAAGGCATCCCTTTGACTCCATTATCTGGCTGGACTGGGAGGAGAGTGACCTGAATAGATTAGTACAGAACAGGAGATGTCTCTGCAAGAAAACTTACAGCCCTACCTGCAAGGCCAGCATTGATCCTAGGCCATCCCCTCAATAGCAATGCTGGGCTGAGCAAAGGGCTTCTTCAGCTTCCGGCCAACAGTTTTGTGACTCTGACCCAGGAGTCAGTCCTTCAACCCTTGGAACAGTCTTGCTTCCAGTGGCCAGGTTTTGGGTAGAGTGGCCAGGGCTTGCCCAGTGTCCTGGCACATAGAAAACAAGTGCTGTTTGGTTGTAGACTATCATTGTTGGGCTCCCTTGACCCGAAATCACTGCATAAAGCAGCTATTAATTGGGCATTTCTTTTAATATCAGGGGTGACCTGAGCTAGAAATCTAAAGTCATTGGCATGTTTTGACATTTTCTTTTTCTTTAAGTTAAGATAGTACCCATGATGTCCTTTTAAGTAACATCAAATATGTCAGTCACTTTATACCATTTATCACCTTATTAGGGTCTTCAGTGATGATTCCCATCTCCATTTTTATCATGTATTATAAAGGGGATTTGTATTTTTGATAGGAGCTGTTTAGTCCCTCTGTCTTCTTAACGGGGGTACATTTCAATGGCGTTTAGGTTCAGGTCTGAGGGTTGACTCTCCAACCAAGGGAAAACAGCCACAGCTTGGGTAGGACAAAAGTGCCTGTTTAGCACCCCCATCCATTTTTATTGTTTTGTTTAGCTGGCTATGGTTGTACAGCAGAGACATGTGCATGCCTCATATGGCTACCAGGTAACTCTCCATCCCTGGTGTGGTTATGATGCCTAGAGGTAGAAATTCCACATGTGTGCATGGCCCAGACCCTATGAAGATGGCAATATTCCCCCAACCCCAGGGAGTTGGAGGTTAGCCCATAGTGCTAGGGCATGCTAGGCAAGGGAGGGTTGTGAGCAAGGATGGATGTGTAGTAAGAGTGGGCAGCCAGCTCCCTGTCCCAAATGTTTAAAAATAGATAAATGATGTTAACTCCTTTAAGACTCAATTGTTTTTAAGCAATTAAGATATAGTAATAACAACAGAAAATATGAGAAACTTCCCCAGGAGGCATAAAATTTTTGTTAGTGAGGTCAGTTATGAAAACACAAAAAAACCATGATTAGAAGGACTAGTACATGACATCAGTTTATGAAACTATTACATGTAACAGTTAACTGCATCATGGAATAAAGAGGAACAGAATCAGGTACTCTTTTTTTTAAGATTTATTTATTTATTTGAAAGTCAGAGTTACATAGAAAGAGGAGAGGCAGAGAAAGAGAGAGAGATGTCTTCCATCTGATGGTTCGCTCCCTAA